AATGTGGCAATGAAGGCTATAGCGATGGTAATACAATAGAAAGTAAACTTAAAGCTCGGAAAACATCTAATTGAAAAAAGTTAAATTAATGAGTAGAATTAGCTACAATGAATACAACAGTCCATGGACTAATGAGAAGGTAGTAGGTATCCCGTAGATTAATGAGATTTATGCGAAAGAGGAAGGAAATAGGATGAAAGTCTTGGTGAGTGTGGGTCTCAATTGGAAGAAATCCAATAGGATTAGTTGGAAGGAAGAGAATGCAACAATGAATGATAAAATTGCAATAATGTGGTGATGGAGTTTGCATCTATGGGAATCCAAAGAAAATGAAAGCCTTTTGTTCTGATATAAGAATTGGAGAGAATTGTTTGAATGTATTTTGTCTCAACATGTAAATTTTTTTTTCCAATCCTAGAAAAGCATATAATACGAGAAACATATGAAATTAAGGAGTAAAATAAATAGGTACAAAAGTCAACAAATTGATGAGTAGGCAATGTGGATCTTACAAATCAATGAGGTACAAGGAAAAATGAAGGAATAGGGGTAGAAATTTTTGGTGATTGGGATTCCTAGTTGTCAAAATATCAGCCTTATATCTTTTTAGTGTACCATCAGTTTTATATTTCACAGAGAATACTCATATGTAACTGGCTGGTCATTTTTCTACTGGTATGTTGGTGATCTCCCAGGTATTGTTCTTCTTCAGGGCCTGCATTTAATCTTTCATGGTACTTTTTTTAATTTTCATTAGATACCGCTTCAAAAATATTATTAGGAATATAAATATCATTGTGTGTGATCAGGGAATTTTTGTATGAAGGTGATAAGTTATGGAAGGATACAAAGTAGGTTATGGGATACACACGAGATTGTTTTGGTGAATTTGTGTTTACCTCAATTTCAAGAGATGGTTCAGCATAATTTGGAGTTGTACACCTAGAATATACTTCTTCAAACCTCATGTTATCCATAATAGCTTTGTCCTCAATTTTCCTGACTTTGATTTCAGGTTTAAGATGATTGGTTTGAGGTGGAGCTAGAAGGGCGAGAGGGGAAGCTCTCTTTCCTCATCTTCCTTAGTATCAACCTTCCCCTGAAGATGAGGTTTGGTGAAATAAGGTTTTTTGTTCATCAAAAGTAAATGTCAAAAGATACAAGGATTTTCTTAGTGGAGGGGTGATAACACTTATAACCTCTCTTGGTGGATGAATATTCGACAAAGATACATTTGAGTGCTCTTATATCTAATTTTGTTCTATTTTAGTTGTGAATGTGAACATAGGTAGTGCACCCAAAGATTTTGGGTGTGAGGTTTTTATGGGTTCAAAATTCAGGGTAAAAATGCAGATAGAATATTCATTGGTATTTTAAGTCCTAGGGTTGTTGAAGGTGGTCAGTTTATGAGACATGTGGCAGTTAGAATGACTTCCCCCAAGTAGGATTTGGGTACATTGTGATGGAATAGAAGTGCACGGGTGGAGGTAAGAAGGTGGTTATTTCTTTTCTACAACTCCATTTTGTTGTGGGGTATGAATGTAGAAAGACTCATTAATGATACATTTCTTTTGAAAGTAGGAGGATAGAGTTTGGTTAAAGTAATCCTTAGTATTGTGGAAACAATTTTTTTTTATTTTATACCGAATTTGTTCTAGATCATGGTGTGAAGAACGGAGAGGATAGTACTAACATCGGATTTATTTTTGAGGAGAAGATCTTAGAGACTCGAGTATAGTCATCAATGAATGATACAAGCTATCAAACCTCTAGGATGTTGGGAATTTTTGAGGTCCCCAATATCATTATGAATAAGGTATAAGAGGGTATGACATTTCTCAATTTTGTTTGAAGAATAAACTCATTTATGATTGACTAACTCACATGTTTCACAATAAAAAGATTCATTTACAACTTTTAAAAAAAATTGGGTGCATATTTTTTAAGACATCAAAATTTTAAGACATTAAAAGATAGATGTGTTAATCTAAAATGATGAAGTCAAATCATAGATTTTTTATTAAATAGAATAGCCATTATTGATTATAGTGGATTTGATCAGCTCTTGCAGTTAGTACAGTCCGTCTCTCTCCTTAGCAAGTCTAATTTTCTTTCCCGATTCGTAGTCTTGAAATAAGGAATAAGTAGAGTTAAATAGAACTTGACAGTTATGATCACTGATACGTTTTTGTATAGTGATTAGGTTTGTGGATAATTAAGGTATTTGAAGCATATTTTTGAGAGTGAGGAAGGGAGATAAGAGTATGTCTCCTTGGCCTGCTATTGTGGTAAGAGAACCATCAGTGGTGATGATTTCCTTATCACTTGGGTAAGGAGTGTAGTTGATGAAGTGGGCAGTGGAGTGTGTTATGTGATTTGTGGCTCCTAAGTCTATGATCCCTATATCTTTTAATTGATTTCTATAGGCACTTAATCCAATGGATATTTGAAACTTAACCTGAAAGTGTAAGAGAAGAAAATGTAGGCGGTTTTTCAAGGGATACCAGGAGTTGTTTTAGCATTTCAATATCTTCTTTGTTAAGCTTTTTGAAGTTGGACTGTGTTTTTGGGTTGGGTTGACTTGTTGTAGTGTTAGCTTGTGATCTTCCCTTTTGTTCACTTTGATTCCACTCTTTATTTGAGGCTTTCCATATAACTTCCAACATATCTCCTTTGTGTGTCTTGATTTCTTATAATAATTGCACCAAAGTGAGTTTTTGTCTAAGTTTTAAGGGATCCTTACCTATTTTCTTATATGACGCCTCTTTGGCTATATCATTGTCGAACTTTAGCAACTTTTTGTTCCAGCATTACCCCTCGTTGGCTTTCCTTAACATGAATGAGAGAAATTGTCTCATTTAGTGAGGGTGTCTACTCTTTGCCAATGATATGAATTCTAACCCAGTCAATTTTTGTAATTAATTCTTCAAGAAATTCATACACTCTATCTTTCACAATAAAGCTTTTTAGGATAACAACATTTTCTGGACACTTGGTCTCTATGCATTTGTAGTGATCAAGTTTTTTCCACATGCTTTGAAGGAGAGTGGCATATTCAGTCACGATCTTGCTTTCTTGTTTATGCTTTCCACCTTTACTTTAATTTCGAAGATTTGTGCAGCATCCTGAGCTTTTGAGAAGGTTTGCCTGGCGGTATCCCATATATCTTTTGCAATAGATAGAAACATATAAGTATTGCTAATTTATGGAGTCATAGAATTCCACAACCATGACATGATCATGGAGTCTGCTTCATCTCATGCCTAGAAATTTGGATCTTCTTCTTTTGGTCCTACTCCAAGGAGGTGATTCATCTTTTCTTTCCCTTTCAAGTAGGTTGAGATCACTTCAAGTAATTTTTTCCGTTTAAGCGATAGGAAAGTTGTATATTTTGGAGATCTTCTCTTTCTTAGTGCACCATGTAGTCCTCTATAGACCTTTGGGAGCAGTTAACTTCAGATATTTTGGCGGCAAAGGACAACGATGAAGGCTATATTAATCAAGTCATCGAGGTGCAGAGCAGCAATGAAAGTGTTTGTTATAAGAGTAGTAGCGACAACAAGAGAAGGCCGACAATGAAGGTACAACAACAGAAGGAAGATGATCTCGCAACATCAACGACAATGAAGGCCGGTGGTGGAACTCGCGGATTATCTCTTTAGGCTATGATATCATGTTAAATTTAGAGAATTAGAGAGGAAAATACTTAATTTTATTGCGCAAAATTATCCCTATTTATAAATCTATATAAGATATCTTAATAAAGAAATAAATAATTACATAATCATGCAAAATTGCTCTAATATAATCCTTCCTAAATCAACCACCCAAAAATATGGAAGGAGATCGGCGTGATCTAGGTGAGCCTCCCACGAATTCTCATATTGGCCATGTGATCAATTGTCAAGGGACGAGTAGGATTTAATTGAGATCAACATGATCCAGGTGAGCCTCCCATGGATTTCCATCTTGGCCGTGGGATTAAGTGTCAAGGGATGACTAGGATTTAACAACATTATCTATCGAGAGGAGTGGAATGACAATGGCGGTCTATTTTCTTTGTAAGATTGAATGATTGAATGAGGTTGAATGTAAACTAGTAATTGATATATATATTTTTGGACTCAACTAAAAGATTTCAATTTGCCTCTTGAGAATGAATGATTTATCTATGGGTGTCAAAATGAATATTTGTGTTGGGTGTGAGCGACAAAGCGGGAGGCAGGAGCATAGGTGTGAGCGTCAAAGCACGCACGTAAACGAGCTGGGTGGGGGATTCGCGTGCAGATGCGACCCGATCCTTTGCACTGGCTAGTGACAATGTGAAGGAGACAAATAGAAATGCTTCAAAGCCCTTTCATCATGTTTTAAGTCTTATGCGATAACATTGGGCTTGCTGCTTGCACTAGCTTTGGCAAACCCCTGATCAGTAAGGCAGCTTATATATATTTATATATATATATATCTTTCAGAAGCTACTTTCTCAATCATATTTATGTCCCCCCCCCAAAAAAAAAAAACTGATTTTAAAGGCGAACTTTTGGAAAATATGCGAAAATTTTATCATCTAATTAGACGCAATTTTTTTGTTGGCTGCTTTAACTACAAATTCTCATGGCGCATGCACAAACGAAAGCAAAGGTTGGGATGGCCTGAGTTATCTTTTCTTCCAGGATTAAATTTGTTTATGGATCAACCCTAATTTAGGGCTATGCGATTTCAAGCTACCCAATTTTCAATACAATGGAATGATGTATTGGTAATCTATGGCCTCTTCAATTAAACTGAGCTTCCTCCAAGAAAGTAACCCACAGTCTATCCTTTATGAAACTAGGAACAATAGTATATATATACCATTATTGCATGCGAAACTTCACACCTTCCTTGATCTCGAAAGATGGGAGTGTATTGAATGATAAACCTAATCATTTATCAGTATTTCCTTAAACATTTGTTTTCTTTCTACATTTTCATCATTCTGAAATTAACCGACTATGCAGGCTGTTGCTTCTAAGAGGAAGGTGAAGAAAACCAATGTTTTAGTTGCTGAGGTTGTTTATGGTGCAATGGCACCTACGGATTTGCAGAAAGCTGTAGAGAAGGAGTTTGAAATGGCCCTTCAAGATAGAGTTATGGAAGAAACTAAAGATAGAAAGAATGCTGTGGAGGCCTATGTATATGACATGCGAAACAAGGTAGAACACGACCCTTTCTTAAAGAATTTGAGAACATTACGTGATCTGATTGTTTCTTAGCTATAACAAGCTTCTCCTAAAGAAAAATAAATGTTTTCCTTATCAATTTACGCAGGTTCATGACAAATATCATGAATTTGTAACTGCATCAGAAAGGGAGGAACTTATCGCCAAGCTTCAGGAGGTTGAAGATTGGCTTTATGAAGACGGTGAAGACGAAACTAAGGGTGTTTATATTGCAAAACTTGAAGAATTGAAAAAGGTTTGTAGTGTTTTTTTTTTAATGTTTTCACTAATTATAGTGATTCTGTTTTGCTGGGAATTAAGAAAGGTAGGTTCATGTAAGTGCAGCAAGGTGACCCCATTGAACTGCGCCACAAGGAGTGGACAGAAAGAGGACCTGCTTTCGGCCAACTTGTTCATTGCATTAGTAGCTACAGAGAAGCAGCATTGTCTAAAGATCCTAAATTTGATCATATTGACATTGCTGAGAAGCAGAAGGTCTTCTTCTACTGCTTGACTTTCAGCTATATTTTTATCTAGATATAATTGATGACTTTTGGATACAGATTACACTTTAGCAATGGCTTTATGTTTTTGTTTATAGGTAGTCAATGAGTGCTCTGAAGCAGAATCATGGTTGAGGGACAAGCAACAGCAGCAGGATGCCTTGCCGAAATATGCAAACCCTGCTTGCTTATCTGCGGATATTAAGAGGAAAGCTGAGACACTGGACAGGTGAAATTCTATTTCAGATGGTTTATTGGATTCAATTGAGGCATGTTATACTTGCCGAAATAAGATGAATATTATTTAGCTGTTCTTTTCTATATCTTAGGTAAAAATTTTAGGAGTGGAATCAGTTGTAATTTACTAAAGGTGGGATTTATTTATGACTCACTTGCAGTGACTAGCAATTCATTTTTAATAGGTTTATACATCATAGCAAGTTATCATTATTTATTTATTAAGATGTCATATTTATTTGATGATCATCGATTGGTGAAATTATTCTGTGCGGGCATGGTTGTTGTTCGGAGGCGAATCAGGACCCGCCACATCACTTTTTAGTTGTATATTTGTGCTGTGTACTGGGTGACGTGGTGCATCTTGATTCGCATCCGGACCGTCTGGTGACAGTACAAAATAATTTCTCCAGTTCCTATAGGGCTCAATAATTAACAAACCTGGTGAGCATGGTGTTGCTTAGGTGGTGTGCCGCCTACATTGTATTGTATTCAATACTGACGAAAATATATTGTATATGCAGGTTTTGTAGGCCAATTATGACCAAGCCCAAACCAGCACCCGCGAAACCCCAGACCCCTCCTCAAAGTGAGGCGGAGCAGCAACCGCCACAGGATGATAAGGAAGAGGGTGGTGCTGATCATGAGTTTGAAGGAAACAATCAGGCCTCAGCTTCTGCTGCGTCTGAGCCAATGGAGACAGAACCTACCGCTTAGCCACCTGAATCAATTCTATGTCATGTTTCCCTGAAGGTTTTATTCTTCTGTTTGAACTTTATAGCCTTAAGTTTTAAAGAGTTTTGGTGGCTTGGGGGGGACATACGCGGTAGGTTTTATGTGTTCTTGGCACTTTATAGCTTTCAGATATGTTTTTGGTCACGTCTTGAATGTTAGCTTGGTCTTAGAGATAATGCTTCTTTGATGGGGGAGCTTGTGCTTTTTCTATTATATATAATTATTTCAGTGGCCTGGTTCCATGTTAGCTCTTGTGTCGCTGGGTGAGCTGTGAATTTTTTGACAGAACTCAAAAATTAATATATATGCTTGGATTTATATTTCTATTTATCATTGCTTGTAAATTGTTAGACTTCGCCTGCTTTTGGTATTTTATAGAACACCTGGAGTCGCTTTACATTCCTAGTTTGATTATCTGTTCTGTATACGTGTGTTTCTGTGAAGGTTTGCCAAAAACTTGGTTTGCTTGTGAATTATTTCTATAGCTTGTTTTTAATATGGTAAAAATCAAAAGAAAAATTTCACTTTGTTTATTTTTATTTTAGAAGTATTATCAAGTTTGGTTAAAAAAAATCATGAAGATGCAATACATTTTGATTGAGATGAAAAATAAATCAAACATTTTATGAGATTTAATTTCTGTTATGAAGAATGACAATAGGGGCAGAGTATTTTATGCAAGATTTTTTTTAAATTTTTTATTAAACTGCAGTTTAGATTGACTGTTTCATTTACACACATGACTTAGTGGTAAATCCAAAATATAAAGCATCCAAAGGTCTTAAGAACAGTGTAATGATTCACGTTCAGTGAGAGTTGGGGGCTTCTTAGCACTAACAAACAAAACAATTGATAGTGAGTGTTGCTCAAGGAATATCAGTGCCACCGAGCATCTGCAGCACAGCCATTGCAGCTTTCTGGTAACGATCTTTCTCTTCTTCTAAGATTTTGCTCTTAGCACCTGCAGACTCCTTGGACTTCTCAATCTCTTCCACTATGTCCCCAGAGCTCTGTTCAATTTCACTATTCTGTTGGAGCTTCATTAGAAATAGAACCCAACGTGTACTATGACACCAAAATATATAATAAAAGATTTTTTGTACACTCTTTAATATTGAAGATCAGAAAATTATCTCATTCTAGAGTCAAGATTAAGTTTTTCTTGATTTCAACTCAATTTTCATTTTTATTCTTTTTTTTTTCTCCATTAAAAAGTGGTATCAATGTCTACTTGGACATGAAAAATGTAATCACGTAATACATAAATGAAGAATCATGGATTTATGGGAGGAATAATTATTTAATCCAATCAAGTAAATTAAGAACCTTACGTATTCATCTTCAGCATGTTCTGTATGGTGTCTTGTACTTGTTGCGACACATCTGTTACACAATAATAGAGAAAAATAAGGGTTTTTTGCACTAATGGGATTTTTAAATTGCAAAAATCTTCGAACAATACATAAACAACAAATACTAACTAAACAGCATTTCTTACAACGGTTGTCCTCCACAACATGAAAAAAAGCTACTAAGCATCAGCTAGGAAAAGCGAATTAAAATATTGATTATATTTAATATTTAGGGTACTAAATTTAGATTTAAAATTTAATATTGTATCACTGCAACATCTAAAAACAGAAATTTCTTTTTTAATATTATAATATGTTTAATTCTTATAGAGTCGAATGCGTTAAACCAAAACTAATGATATATGCTCAATAGTTTTTGATACAGTGTTACTATTAAATCTGCATGGGCCGATACAAAGATAAACTTTAAAAACAATATCTATTATTAATTAAATGAAGACCAACTACATGATTAATTTAAGAGTTTTAAATAAGATTATTGTAATTTTTTTAAAATATTATGCAAGGTTTAAAGGTTTTTAACCAAATATAATTTGCCTATAAACTACAATATTATCATTTTCTATTTCAATAAAAGTTGTAAGAAAGTAATTAATTATGTCAGCTGATTAGAATAATGATGTTGCGCCCATTGCATGCAAGAAAGTTCTCAATCTTCTTAGGTAATCCTAGCCTCTACACCTCTGAAGTGTTGGGCACATCCGCCTCAGCCGCTAATCAGCTAAATACAATTTCAGGATTTAATTAAATACAGAAATTGTATAAAACTTATAAAATTCATAATAAAAACTGAAATCTCTATGGATTCATAAAATTTAGTTGAAAATTTTAAAAATAAAATAGGGGTTCTTTGTTAACCGCATGCAGAATATTAATTAAATATTATATAGTGTTGATTAAATAATTAATGATCCTAATCGCCTCTTACAACCCTCAAATCCATTTGAGAGATCCTTTGAGGTGTCTTACACACTCTCAATTTTCTCAGATTAATTTGAGGTCTAAAAAATTTTCAATGAAATTTTCAAATTTCTAAGTAATAAAATAACTTTGAATTAGGAAAATTTATTAAAATAAATTCATGGGTTCAAATGATTTACAATTTAAAATGTGAACTTCACTGATCACTATGATCAAAAGATTTTTTTTCTTAAGAAAATTCATGGAGGGGCCTACACGTTAAATAAAAAAGGAATTACAAGTTCTTAGTGAACCCTCAACTCTCTAAAAATAAAACATTTAAAGTAAAACCAACGAGCCAATGATTCAATCTATTACTATAAAAAAGCAAAACAAAGAAAGCAACCAAATAAGCAAACCACCAAGAAGGCCTAAAGCCATCCAAGAGAGGAACCACAGAAGGCACGAGCAACAAGGCAACAACAATCAGCCCCAATCAACAAAAACAACAAAATACCATAGTAACCTATAAAAAAACAAGGAAAGAAAATGCACAACAGAGGAAAATGAAATAATAACCCCAACTGCAACAACAGATAAGAGCCCACAAGCATCCATGTCACACAAGCGGCCCCAACACAAAACTACAAAGGCAACAACCACCCAATCGGCAAAGGGAAATAACAACAATAAGAAAGCCCAAACAACCCAAACAGTCATGATTTATTCTTCTTCTTCTTCTTTTCCCTGACAACATTTTCAGAAAAACCCTCAACCATCACTTGAACCACATTTAAAGTGCAATCATCATTCAGACAATTAGATAAATCACCATGAGTTCCCTCAGAACCCTAATCTTCGCCTGATTGCAAACAAATCCAATCCGCATGGCCAACAAGAATGTCAACCAAGCAATCCCCACGGCACAAAGCATTAATATCAACATTAAAACTAGGAATAGAAGGTAAACCAATTAAATGAGCTTTATCAGAAACCAACAATCCATCATTAACATTGACAGAAACAGGAGGAGAAACATTCCCAACAGGCCTCAAAGCCACAGTGAGGTCATCCATAGTATTGTACTCGAGCGGAGAAACCCAAGTTTCCAATTGAGGTGTCTTAGCGAAATGATTATTAGGATTACAAGAATGAATTTACGCAAATCATTATCAGCCATAGGAATGTTCCCACCCCCACATACCACAAGGGTGGTAGCCGCTAAAGAGGGATTCAAAGAATTCACAACCTTAATATTCACGTCATCAAAACATTAACAATATCAATACAAGTATCCCCATTAACCACCAACTCACTAACCGGCATAACAGGAGTCAAATTAATGATAGCTACATTATCCATAGTTTCCAAAACACCAATAACATTCCCATCTGAGCTAACAAGATTAACATCATTGGCAGTAATAATCACCGACACAGAAGAAAATAAGCATGTCACATTGGCGATGATGGTCAGAAAGATCATAGTTGGGTGACGACTGGTAGCAAGGCAGAAGTTCGGCGACGGCTGATGGCCGGAGAGAAGGGTGGCCGTGCGGTGCAAGCTTGAGAAAGTAAGAGATAACTTTTATTTTTCATCTCTTTCTCCTCCTCTCATGTGAAGAATGAGGGGATATTTATAGTTTTTTGGGACTAGCATGACCAATAAATAGGGAGAAGATCAAAAGAAGTTGGGAGTATTACCAATGGACGACCGATATCAACTCCATTGATTATAGACAGTTTATCGAGCATTTGAGTGCCTTAATGATGTTAGAATTTGGCGATCTTGAGCTTGTTGGATTCGTCTAGTCGAGCCGCTCGATTTGAATATGGGCATGTCACATTTGTAAATTATTTTATTTTCCAATTTATGGTTTGAACCTTCTAAATACGCTTCGGGTCCTATATTTGAACCCATTTGCCCTCAGATTGGATCGAATTTGGGGCTGTTGGGTTTGTCTTTTTGAGACTTTCAGTTCGATTATAAGTTTGCTGGAATTGAGGTTCAGATGACTCTGCATTTAATTTCAAAAATATCAATAAGAATTTGCCTTGAGATTCGTGCCCGATCAAGAAATTTTTTTGATGATATATCAGAGCACAAAAGATTGACTTATGTAGTGCAATCAATGGAGTGAAACACTGCTAAGAAAAGTTGAAATCAGATTGAAATAATCATCTAAGTTGATCTTCACGAGTTAATGTCCAATTCACACGGATACTTCGTAGGGAGCTCACAGTTTGGAGAACCTATAAAGACCTGAATCAAATCATCAGTTCTGCCACAGAAAACTCTCTAATTTTGAGCCGGTTTCAGCGTTAAACCAATCGGTTCAGGTATTTATGGGAAAATGTGCATCAATTAATGCGCAAAATAAATATCAACAATCTATTTCCGACATATTACTGAACGGTTCTATCAGACAGCGAAATTATCCATTTATGTTACAACATAACCCTTAGAACTAAGATTTCTTGGCATCAACATTAACAGGATCTAATCAATAGAAAATTGGGAACAAATAAAAAACTAATTGAATAAATAATCCAAACTGAAACGGTAATCTAGGGATGAAACGACAAGTAGAGATGTCAATGAGCAAAAGGAAATCGAAAATCCAATTTCGGGATTCTACCAAACGGATCTATTGACAGCGAAATCATTGTCTAATGTTAGCACGAACCCACTAGAACTTCTAAGATTCCTTGGGGTTAATAGTATTGGGAAAACATAAAAGATTTAGTTCCAAAATCGGTGAAGTCTTTACTAGGGTTGTGGAAATAAACGAACCGTATAAAAGAGCAGAGATCGGAGATTCCGTTGCCTGTGGTGCCAGATCTAACCGGTGTGAAGAGACAGAGACGATCGCCTTCGGAACCTCCATTTGGACCCCAAATTTCGAATCCCTGAATACGAAGATCTCGAGCTCAGCAATGGAGAAGAGCGATCCAAGAAGATATGGTTGGTGCTCTTGTCCTATTTATAGTTAAGTTCACTTGGAGGGAAACTAGAAAATGATCCGGTTTTGAACACGGTTCGTTGATCGGCTTTCTAGCAAATCTAACCGTCCAATTTTACCTATGCATAAAAGGGCTATGACATTCTAATTTGAATTTGACAAAAAACTAATATCCAATTATTTATATTTAAAATGATAGCAATTAAGGTTTCGTTTGAAACAACTTTGTACTACTTTTCAAAACGATTTTTTAGTACAAAAATTTCAAATTAAAGAAATTTTTGTACTAAAAAGCTGTTTTAGAAAGCAATAAAAAACCCATCCCAAACGAAGCATAAATCGAATTTTTAGTACAAAATTCTCTTTCTCAAAAGAACATTTTTGCACTAAAAAACTATTTTATAAAGCAATACGAAAGTTGTCCCAAACGAAGTCTAAATCTCAAACATCACAACAAAAATAGAATTTCTATTTTTTTTGCGTACATTAACATTTTAAAGTTTAGGTGATATTCATAAATATATTTATTTATAAGTTTATTGTTTCATTATCTTGGGGTTTACGTATTCCATAAACAATAAGAGAAGTTTGCTTTAACCTATGCATTCTTTTTTTTTTTTTTGGATAAAACTCACAAAGGGGTTTACGTATTCCATAAACAAAGTACATGTTCTTAAAGAACCAGAAGCTCTCTAAAAATATAATATTTGAAGTAAAACCTATGAGCTAATAGTTCTATCTATTACAATAGAGCGGAAAATAATAAAAAGAAAAAGACCAAAAGGGAATCAAAGAAAACCAATCCAAAACAAAGAAGCAGCATCAACCACACAACAACAGAGGAGCCACAACAACCGCTGAAAAAAGACATGCACAATTGCACAAAAAATAAAAAAAATGGAGATAGACCAAAGGAAGAGAAGCCCATGCAACAAAGCCACCACACTTAAAGAACATCCACAGGACAACCCACACAAACAACAAACCACAAAGAGGAAAGGCCACCAGAACCGAAGACACAACACCCACACAACCCTGTCGCAACATAAACCTCCCAGCCACCAACACTCCTCACAGTAATACCAAAGATTGCCCCACCCAGCAATAACGCCATCCTCTAGAAGACACTGACCCAAAAATGCTATCAGAGAAGAGAAAAACAAAGACAATGTAACACAACTTTTTTAGGTTTTGCTTACGACATTTACCAACACGGGAAAATGCATTTGCAATAACACGACTCACATTCAAGCTATACAAATCATGAAATGAATCTACCTGCTCATCCATGTCATCCTCACCAATCCCGCAAGGCGAGGAAGGTGACCCATCGAACCAGTCAGAATGCTTCACACAAGTACCCCATAATCTAGAAACCAGTTTAGATTTCTAGGAACCAAGTCATTAGCATAAGCACCCTCACCTCCAAAGCAATCCAAGTCCGCAAAAGGAGAAGAATCTTTAGTGCCATCAAAGTTCACCTCAAGAGTAGGTAATTTGAAATCACTCTAATTATGATTCAAAATATCTAAATTCTCCTGAGCCAAGACAGTAGTAGAAGGCAACACAAGGTCATCCGAGATAAAAAATTTGGGCCTAACTAAATGCTCCCACATCACCAATAACAGGGGCGATAGTTTCATGCAAAGATAATTCAACACACACATTGCCCTGAGCATAGCACATCATGAGGAACGATCTCACCCGCGTTGAAAGCCAAATGGGGATGAACTTGTTTCCAATTATCATCTTTTTCCTGCATAGGTAACTCAGCCATATCCCCCACATTCATATTACTAGAGTGAGCTTTAGCTAAATAAGGGTGTAAAATGTGACATTCTACTTTCAAATGACACAAAGCTTTGCAGTGATCACAATAAGAAGGAGATTCTTTCATTTCCACAAACTGAATATAACCCAAAGTTTCAGAACCAAGCCAAGCTTGATCAAGATAACGTTTGGTAACATCTAATTAACTCAACAGGAACACGAGCGACCAAGGGTCTTTTGCCATTAGAGGTAGCATTATCTGTTCTTAAGGTACGACCAAACAAAGACCCCAAAAAATGAAGGATACAAGGAGAAAATAGGTGAGGACGGAGATTGGGGAAAGATACCTAAATCGGAATGGTAGGTGATTCCACATTAATGTCAAAATGAGGAGTTCACTTAAACAGTTTCATGAAGGAATTGCTAAAAAAATAAGAGCGATTAGAGAACACACTACAATAATCTAAATCGTTCACTAACTTAATCAACACATTCTTTGAGTTGAGCAAAGTGATAGAAAATTCACCAAAAAATTTTAAGTTAAAAATTTGTTTTTTTGAATAGCATCAAGAGGTGGACGACGTCATGAAAATTTTCCAACCAAAACAAACGCCCTGAAAATTCACGAAGTCAAAACCCTGACTAAATATCCCTAAAGAATGTGATTTTGACTTCCCATCCAACAATCTGGTGCCAATCAAAAGATTAACTGCCATTCAAACTAAAAAATGGCCGAAAAAAGAAAAATTGGAAGAAAAACCAGAAAGATTAAGGAGAAAAGAAGAAAATTACCCATAAAAAGCTTCTATAAAAGGCAAACGCAGCAGCACAGAGAAAACCCTAGCCATTGCGATACTCCTTACAATTGGTTTAACCTATGTACTCTTCCACATAGAGGAGTATTATCTAAGGTACCATGAAATGCTACACTAACCTAATAACTTTGGTAATGAAATTGCCATAACATTAATGTAGAAAATTACAAGATCTCGAACTTTTGCTAAAAGAAACTATGCAAAGTTGAAAGCAAAATGGTGATCTTACATCTACTATTGATCACCTTACAATGATAACAATATTGCAATGGATTGACATCAACAAAGCTCAAAAGTAAGTTAAATAATTCTTGAATTTATAAAATAAATATGAAATGAACATTTTGAAAGATCTAAGTTACAACTTAAAACTTTAACAAACTAGATTTTTATTCTATGTAATCAATAAGCTTTCACTAAAGAAAGTGTTTTTGCCAAAGTAAATTAAAGTTTTGTTCAAGACGGTTTTCTTACTGCTTCTTAAAACAACTTTTTAGTGCAAATTTTTTTATCTACATAATTTTGTACTAAAAATCAATTAAAAAAATAATAAGAAAATTAACCCAAATAAAGCCAAGAGATTTAAGAACAAGACCTAATTATATTAGCTCGAAGAAAATCTAAATAAAGAAATAAAAATTGGGGTTCTTAAGCATAAATCTATAAATAAACATTGCGCAACACATGAATGAAAAACTTGAAGTAAATAAGTATTCCCAAAAAGATTTGAAATATAATGCTATATATGCTTACCAAAAGATGTGAGTGCAAGCTCAAAGTAAAGCTTAAATAATGAACATCTTTTATAAAACTCTCAAAAGAGATAAGTGTTTGAATGCTTTGAAGTTAGCTTACCAAGATAAAAAGTTTTGCAATGAGGGACAAGCTATTGGAGAGAACTCAATTTATGCTCTTAGCTTTTTGTTTGAGAGTGTTTGAGGAAGAATAATAAATGTTTTTTAATGCAAGTAGGAAATAATTTTGGAAATATTTTGAAATTAAAGAAGCCTTGAATAAATATTTTATTTTATTTAGAAAAACTCCTTAAATGACTTTATAGTCACTAACATTCAGATGTAGCAATCAAATCCATTAGTATTCATTTAATGAGGTGGAGGCAAAAACATGCATGTGTGGAAGCATGTGGACAAGCACACCAACATGCAAAAATAGGCTTGCTTGCATGGAGCCGTGATGCATGTTAGATTGTAAGTAGCAGACACTATACAACTCTCCTTGGTCTATTGGTTGAGAGCTTAGGCTTCCAACTAAGAGGTTCAGGGTTCGAGTCTATGTGTATGCGTAGTGTGTGTGAGTTTGCCTTAAATGGCCTAAATGTCCAAAAAAAAAAAAAAGTAGCAGACACTCGTCAGCCAAGCAAAACGCATAACCTGCGTCAAACAAAAAAAGTCAATCAAGAAGTTGCTTTAAATGAAGCATGATGCGTCATGCAAAATTATCTTGATCGGGCACGAATCTCGAGGCAAAATCAAGCCGGAAACTTCAATAATTAAATCCGGGAGCATCTGAACTCCAATTGCAGCAAACTTACAGTCGAACTGAGCGTCTCGGAAACACTACGGGAAAAAACGTGAATACCGGCGGAGTTTCCGGCGGATTTTTTTAGACGGTAATAAACGGCGTACTCACCGACGGATTTGTTCGACGTAAGGCTTGCGTCAACATTACCGGCGGAACATACGTCGGAAATTCACCGACGCCGTGTCCGCCGGAAAACCCGACGGTATAGGGATGCCTGAACCATTTCCGTCTATATATATATATTTGTTTGAATTCAACAAATCAATTAATAATTTTGAATGCATACAATCTCATACACATTGATGATGTTTTCAAGGTATGATATTGAATATATAGTATATCCAATATTAATATGTAATGTTTGATGTAAAAAAAAAAAAATACTTTCAATAGAATTTTGATGTAAATGAATTTTAATTGTTCAAAAAGCACGACAAAAAGCTTTTAACAATATTTTAGAAAGTATATAATATTTTGTGTAATTTTAAATGTTCCCTTTCTTGAGAAGGACAAATTTATGATTAAAATATATTACAATTAAGATATAATTTGACCTTTTTTCATTATTTTTGTAATATAATTATTTACTCTCTCTCTAATTAATGTAATTATCAGCTTTCATAAGAGTATATATATAAAGATAAATCAAATACAACTAATAATGCTCCCCTTAAAATGCATTCATGTGAAAACCAAAATAAGAACCAAGATACAATAACTAAAATTTAGGCTTTGTTTGGTACGGCTTTCTTCCTACTTATGAATACAAATTTTAGTAAAAAAATTATAATTTTTGTGCTAGAGAGCTGCTTTAAGAAGCAATAAAAAGCCGTCCCAAACAAAGCCTTAATCTCTACTCCTTTTGGCAGCGAAAAAAAAAAAAAGAAAGAAGAATACAATGATATAAAAATATCAGTGGAATTTAAGTAGACATAGAAGCCCTATATATTTACATATATGCAAAGCATAGTCTCAAAGTACAAAACAATTTTCAAGTAATGACTTTGCAAAAATTATCAGCTATTTGAAAATTAATGCTCACAAATTTTATATTAATATAACCCTCACGAACATGATTCCTAATGATTTAGTGTC